CAGATTACAATCTGTGCATGGTCAGCACACGTTCAGCAGTTCAGCAATTGTTTCCGTTTGATCCAGAACCTGAGCAATCTTTAAGGAGGAGACACAGGGAGCAAAATTTGCTGCGGGTTCCTTCACTGCAAGGGACTTTTCTGCAGTCTTTATATTCTGAGGACCTGCACAGTACAGAAACAATGGCTTTTGTTATTCCAGAGGCTGGTGATCCTTTGGGTAATTCTTTAACAGCTCATGCCACTAACATACCAGGTTGCATTACATATCCAGCAGTGGAAGAAGGGTCTACATTCGAAATCAAGCATCACATGTTGAGTATTCTACCTACATTTCATGGGTTATCAACCGATGATCCTAACATGCACATTGCAGAATTTTTAATGGGATGCAAGAATATTTTGGTGAAAGGATTCTCAGCTGAATCTATTAAGCTTCGTCTATTTCCTTACACATTGAAAGATCAAGCAAGGAGATGGCTCCTCACACTTCCATCTGGAAGCATTAGCACTTGGAACCAACTCAGTGAAAAATTCTTAAACAAATATTATCCAGCTTCAAAGACTCTCGACATGAGAACTCAAATTTTATCTTTTGCCCAAAAACCAAATGAAGAGTTTCATGAGGCGTGGGAACGGTTTAAAGAGTTGAATAGAAAATGTCCACATTCTAGTATTAGCAGTACGGATCAAGTGCATATATTTTTCAGAGGGTTAAATATGACAACAAAAACTCTTGTCAACGCTTCATGCGGAGGATCATACAAGGATAAAAATGCACAAGAGGCTTGTTTATTATTTGAAAAAATGGCAGCAGATACACAGCAATGGGCAGTTGAGCAGCCACAATCAAGGTCTGTTTTTGAGATATCCAATGGTTCTCCATATATGTCGGCACAAATTGAAAAAATGGAGAAAAAGCTTGAAAGATTTGATGCAAAATTTGACATGTTATTACAAAGAATTCCAGGTTCACAGGTTGCTGTACAGCAACCTTTACCAGCTGCCTGTAGCATTTGCAATGTGACAACCCATGATTTTTTGAGCTGTCCGCATAAAGATGCTTATCCGGAATTTGCAGCGGAACAAGTTAATGCATTTAATAACTTTCAGCGTCCACGATATGACCCGTATTCAAATGTTTACAACCCGGGTTGGAGAGATCATCCTAATTTTAAGTGGGACAGAGATCAACCTGCAAGGCCACAATTTCAACAACAGGTACAGCAAACTGCTGCGCCTAAGGCTGCTTGGGAGGTTGCAATTGAAAAATTAGCAAATGCCACCAGTCAAGAATTCCAAAATCTGCAGGCAACAGTGAAAAACATAGAAAAACAAATGGGGCAGATTGCATTCCAAGTTTCAGAAAGAGCACCAGGTACATTTCCTAGCCAAACGGAACATAATCCAAGGGGAGGCGCAGATTGTAAGGCAGTTCGAGTTCTACGTTCGGGTAAAAGTTATGACAATAGAGGTGAAATTTGTGTTGGAAATTCGCAGGCAGCATCACAGCCACAAACAGATTCAGGAAATTTTGCAGAATCTGATATTGTTACAGATTCTACAGAGTCTATGGGCAGATCTGAAAACAGTGCAAAAATTGCTGCAGAAACTGCAGAACGTGTTTATGTGCCTCCAATGCCTTATCCCGAAAGGTTGAAGCCCAAAGTTAAAGATCAACAGTTGACAGATTTTATGAAGACGTTGGCCAAAGTTCAGATCAATCTCCCATTGATTGATGCAATTAAGAACATTCCATCTTATGCCAAGTTTTTAAAGGATGTTTGCACAAAGAAAAAGAAGCTCGTGGATTTTGAAAAAGTTATTCTTACAGAACAGTGCAGCGCAGTTTTATTACACAAACTGCCTCCAAAGAAACAAGACCCAGGGAGTTTTACAATTTCATGCACAATTGGAAATTCTAATTTTAAACGTGCTTTAATTGATTTGGGTGCCAGTATTAATTTAATGCCTTTTTCTGTTTTTCAGAGACTAGGACAAGGAGAAATCAAGCCTACATCAGTTATTCTACAACTGGCGGACCGTTCAGTTGCTTACCCTAGGGGAATTATTGAAGACCTCATTATTAAAGTGGATAATCTCTACCTTCCTGCAGATTTTGTGGTCTTGGATATGGATGAAGATATGCAAACACCGATTATTTTGGGGCGTCCATTCATGGCTACTGCTCGAACCTTAATTGATGTTGAGGCTGGAACACTTACACTTAGAGTGCAAGATCAGTCCGTTGTTTTTTTTTTTTTTTTCTCTCCTACTTTACCTCTTTGGCTGCTCCTTTATCTTTTTATGTTTCGCCTCTATTTTCTAGGAGTTAGTCATTTGGTTTCTGTCTTGTTTCGTCTATTTATTTTCCACACCTTGAGGACAATGTGTGATTTAAGTTTGGGGGTGGGAAAGTAAATTTTAGATTTTTAGTCTCGTCTAAAATTTTCATTTTTAAGTTAATATCCATAGATTATTTTAAACTTTAGAACAAATAGACATGGTGAAGATTAGTCCCACAATAGAGTCTTTTCTGTTTATTATTGTTTAGACACTAATTCTTGAATTGTACTTTGAAATTTGCACATCACACCAACATGGTTTGTGGGGAGTGAGATTGAAATACTTATTGTTTGTCCCAGTGTGTTTTAATTTTTGTTCTATATAAATAAAGTTAGTATGTATTATCAAGTAATAATTGCCTCACCCAAAGCTTTGTTAGTAACCGGGCCAGTCCTGCCTAATCAGCAGTGATTCTCGAGACAAACGGTAGAGTTTTGGCATGAGGCAGGGTGGTTAGTTGGTTTCGTAGCCTTTCCAGCTTGAGTTAATAAGTCCTTAGGGGTGTTCTACACCTAGTGCCCTAAAGCCTTAGTGGTTTGGGAGTCATTGACTTAAAGCTCGCTACATGGGGTGGATCGAAAGCTTAAGGGAACCGACATTGCACAACCGCTACTGTTACTAAAAAAAAAAAAAAAAAAAGAAAAAAAAAAAAATGTGTGAAGTGTGTGAAGTTTGAATAAAAAGGATGAGAGATAAAGGTTTTAGTCGAGTTTCCTTAACTATGATGGTTCACTTTACACCGAAGGAAGTTTGTGAATTCTTTTCTAATTGATTCTAAATAGCTTAGACTCTGTGGTGGGATTAGTTGGATCTATTGAACAGATGTTCTAGTTTTTAAAATTTGCTATGGATTGCAACTTGAAGGTGGAAATTTTGTTCTGGTTAAAGTGATAGCCAAATGTTTAGTTTGTTAAGCTTTTATTTTTGTTTGAGTCTTGTTTTGCTTGAGGACAAGCAAAAAGCTAAGTTTGGGGGTATTTTGATGAGTCGATTTTATATTATATATTTAGCCTCATTCTTAGTATATTTTGGTTAATATTTTGGAAGAATTTTGATACTTTGAATTATATTTCCAATATAGGACTTTCGACTTCCTCTGGAGCAAAACATAATCAAATGGACGAATTTTGGAGTAATTCCAGTTGGAGGACGTTCGTGAGCCACTTAGCTTGATCGTATCAAAATATCAGACTTTTCCACCAAGCGATGATTTCCTGGTGAATAAATGAAGGAGCAGTGCACTGTGCTGGAATAGTGACGTTTTGGGCTTGTATTGCGTTTTTGGAGCCCAAGATGACCTCGGATGGGTTCATGGCCTTCTGGAGAAGTGTTCGGAATATTTTTATCTTTAAAACGAGCTATCTTGGGCCAGATTTGGAGGAGATTTGAGACCAAAACGTGGCTGACCAGATTATTGGCAGATTCTCCTAATCCAATTTGGACTTTATTTCCTAGTCTTATTTTATTTTAACTTAGTTTCCTTGTGGGGATTGGGTAGCTAGGTTTTAGGAGGTATTTAAGCTCCTTTTCACAGCAATTTAGAGAACTCCCTTTTTACTTCTTTTTGGCTTTTGGAGCAATTGCTAGGGTTTTGGATTTTCGCGACTTTCAGGTGTTTGCATTCTTATTCTTCTTAATGATATTTTCTTGGATTTCAATTGTGAACATGCGTAACTAACTCTCTTTTGCTAGGGTGAGGCCACGAGCCTTAGCAAGAATATGTAGTTTCTGTCCAATTTGCTTATGATTATATGCATGCAGGTTTTCGAATTATTCATCACTGGGTTAAACTATCTAAGTGTCTTGATGCTTGATCACCATTAGGATGTTTAGAAAAGTAATTTGATGCAGTTTTGGTCGGAGGTCGGTCCCTGAAATTGACGAAGGCTTCTTGTGATTAATATGTGCAAGTTCACTTAGGATGAATACCACGTCTTAAGGGTTGCATGGTTTTTCAAAAGGTTTCACAGAACTTAATGAGTCATGTATGTTTAGATTCGATCTGAATACCACAGACGGATTGCATGTATGATATACGCTCTATGTTGGGGGTCCAAGTAGGCATATATTAGGAATACCTAACCTTCGAAATATGCATGTATAGATTATAAGTAATTGGGGGAACTATATAGAATTGTTAAGGTGACGGCGGATCCCTAGTGCTTTCTTAATTTGATTTCTAAAAACACAACTTTTTCTCTTGCTCTTAGCTTTAATTTTGCATATTGCCTTATTTTTATTAGTTAAATTCTTTTTAATTTAAGGTCTTCAAATCAAACATCTCAACTTTCTCTTTTGCAATAATTAATTAGAATTTGGTTGCTACGAGTTATTTAATAATCCCTGCGGAGAACGACCTTGCTTGAATCATTTATACTACAATAACCTTGTCATTCTTGCAAGTTTTGTAGGAGTTTTAACCCTGTTTGCGCAGGTACTAAAAAGCCTATCATTGTTAAAGGATATAAAGCTTGTCCAACATGCGGCGATGATACACCTAGTCACGTGTTGAAAAAAGGCCACAAAATTTGTTACATTGGGCATAGAAAATGGTTACCAATCAATCATCCGTATAGGAGGCAACGTGCAGCTTTTAATGGGAAACCTGAATATGGCACGCCTCCCGAGCCATTAACCTGAGAAGAAGTGCTGCATATGGTTGAAGATGGTGACAGAGTTTGTTGGAAGAAGAAATCAATATTCTTTGATCTCGAGTATTGGAAATACCTTCCTGTGAGGCATGTCCTAGATGTTATGCACATTGAGAAGAATGTTTGCGATAGTATCATTGGTACATTGTTGGATGATCCCTGGGAAAAAATAAAGATGAGATTACTGCTCGATTAGATTTATTGAACATGGGGGTCAAAACTGATTTGTAACCCGAGTATGGAGAAAGACGTACTCGTTTGCCTCCCGGGCCTTGGAATTTGTCAAGAGCAGAGAAGAGAGAGGTTTGCAATTCTTTCTATGGTATGAAAGTCTCTGAAGGTTATTCTTCAAATATAAAAAATCTTGTATCTTTACAAGATTTAAGACTTCTTGGCCTTAAATCACATGATTGTCATACCTTAATGCAACAATTGCTCCCTGTGGCAATTCGTTCTGTTTTGGAGAAGTCTGCAAGGTATGCAATAACTCGTTTGTGCTTCTTCTTCAATGCTATATGTGCAAAGACTGTTGATGTTTCCAAGCTAGATAAGTTGGAAGAAGATGTAGTAGTTACTTTGTGTTTGCTTGAGAAGTATTTTCCCCCTTCATTCTTTGATATCATGGTTCATCTAGTAGTACATCTTGTCAGAGAAGTTCGTCTATGTGGGCCAGTATATTTTAGATGGATGTATCCGTTTGAAAGATATATGAAAGTGCTAAAGGGGTATGTTCAGAATCGTACTCGTCCCAAAGGTTGCATTGCTGAGCGGTATATAGCTGAAGAAGCTGTAGAGTTTTGTACCGAGCATTTATCTGATGTTAGTACAGTTGGAGTGCCTTCAAGCCAAAAGATGGGAGTTTCAAAGCCATTATCAGGTTGCACAGTGAGCGTAGTTGATTGGGACCTGTTGAACCAAGCACATCTATATGTCTTGGAGAATATGGAGGAAGTCCTACCTTATATCGAGTACGTATGAGTTTTATTCTTTAAGTTTCCATTTTAAATTATTTCTTATGTTTATCTTATATGTTTGGGACCGTAATACTTGAATTTTTTGTGTCATGTAGGCAACATATGATCCACATCAAGACCGCTTATCCAAAATTTAGAAAGAGAACAAAGTGGCTACAGGATAAGCACAATAGCACTTTCATTCAATGGCTACGCTTCAAGGTATATGTTATTGAATAACATATTGGACTTTTAATTTTCTTCTTTCTATGTTAGATTGAATTAAGATATGATTAATTTGCAGGTTCAAAGTGAACTTAATGAGGAAGACAATCATGGCGTATCAGAAAATTTAAGGTGGCTAGCAGCTGGTCCAAACATGGCAGTGCCATCATATAGGAACTATCTTATTAAAGGTATTAAATTTAACATCAAGGCACAAGATGATGTGCGAACAACTCAAAATAGTGGAGTTTATTTACTTGCACATACCATGCAAGTTGCTAGTGCCAAGGATAAAAACCAAATTCTCTCAAATATGGGTTTCTATGGTGTCATTCAAGAAATTTGGGACCTTGACTACCAAAAGTTTACAATCCCAGTCTTTAGGTGTGATTGGATAGATAGTACTTCTGGTCTTGTAGTCGAAGAACCTGGATTTACCCTTGTAGATTTGAGTAAAATTGGACATAGGAATGACCAATTTGTTTTGGCTTGTCAAGTCAAACAAGTATTTTTTGTTGACGACCCGATGCATCGTAGTTGGTCGGTAGTGTTATTAATGCCTAATAGAGAATATAATGATGTTATTGGTGATGATGTCTTAGGTGATATGAGAATTGAGTGTGAGCCATTTACTAGAGGGATGCCAAATGTTGACACATTTGATGAACTCATGGGTGAGTTTGGGAGTCAAAATATTCGAGATGGGTGTGAAGATATATGGATTGAATGATGCTTATGTAATTGGCAGTGTATGACATTAATTTTGTAATATATTGTAATGTGATTTCTTCACTTTCATTATACAGGTTTTGGCCACACAAAAATCAGTACAAAAAATACTGGTTCAAGATTACAAACACGACGGTCTTGATAAAAATGTGAAAAACAAACGTCTGTTTTAATAAAAAACGACATTTTGGAGCATTCAACGACCACAATATATTTACCGACGTCTTAAAGCAACGTAACAAAGAAGAACCACGACGCTATTGTGAAACAGGTATTAAGGATATCACGTCGGAGAAACATAAAGAGCCGCCATGTAATTCCAAATAACACGACTCCAATCCCATAATACCGACGTCTAAAAGACGAGATATCTAACCTGAACGTTACAAAAGACGACGTCGTCTTAACTTTACCACGTCGCATGTTATTTCATAAACGAAGTGGAAAAGGATGAATTCACGATGGTATTTTAAATCCATTGGTAAATTTGTCGACGTTAAGATATATTTGGACGTCGTTCCTTTACAAAAACGACGTTATATGAATGTATCCACGTCTCTTTTCTTATGATAATGTCGTTAAAATTTCTTTACACGGCAAATATCGGATTAACAACGCCGTCTAATAGGAATTAGATGACGGTAATTTTGTTAATGATGACATATAAATTATGAAATACGGATGTCTTTTGCATGATAACGACGTTGTATATTGACGACAACGTCATCTTTATAAATTAATGTGTCGTAAGTAATGACCCCAACATATTTTCCACGTCGTTTATTTTAAGATCGTGTCGTTAAAACTATTTTACACGGCGATGGACTGAGAAACGTTTTCGTCTCAGATCCATTAAACAACGATTATATTTTAAGAGATGACGTATAAATTCTGTAATACGGCTCTCATTTATTTGGAACCGACGTTGTTTATTAGTACAACGTCGTCAGTTTAAATACATGCGTCGTAAGTAATGACCCTAACATCTATTTCCACGTCATCATTAATAGAAAAATCGAAGTGGAAAATTCATTTCACGACGGTTGTTGAAAATGTACTGACGTAGTAGGAGTCAATAACGTCGTCGATTATGTATTTAAAGACGTCATATTTTTATTTGTCGTGAAAGGTATATTTAACGGCGGTGAGTTTTAGTTCTCGTCGTTGTATGTATATCTCGCGGCCATGTTCTGTTAATATATGTCATATGTTTCCTTTTTAACGACGTTTTTTGTTAGAATTGGTCGTCTATTCTCATCCTCGACTGTTTTTTTATCTCTTTTTCTATTACAAAGATGTCGGTTATTACTTGTTAATGACGTTGTTTGTTTTAACAACGACGGTGATTTAGCGTCGTGGTTTGACACCCAAATAGATGTCGGTCGATTCCACGACGGTTTGAAAACCGAATACACGACGGTGAATTCCCGTCGTCTTTTTCCTTTTTTGTAGTAGTGAGAAGAAAAAAAGTAGACAAGATAGAAAAAGAAAACACCCTTGGGCCAATAACTTGGCAAAAGCAAATAAAATCAATAAAGAAAAGAAGAGAGGATAAGGAAAACATAATTAAAGAGAGCAATCGTCACGGAGAATTTATCAAAAATAGTCAAAACTTGATCCTTGATTTCAAAAATGTCAGTTTTTGTAAAATATTTCAAATATAGCAAAAAACTCACTTAAATAGACACAAATGTCCGCAAATTTAAAACCCGTACAAACCTAAAAAATAAACCTTATTAAATAAAACTTTGGATATTTTTAACCCACTTTTGTACAAAAGAACAAAAGTTGAAATATATCATCCTATTTATTGATATTTTAATCAATTTAAATTTAGTCCCAATCCAAGCATCACCAAACATTGGTTAAGTGTTATTCAAGTTAAGCTAATTCAATCCAAGACAATTTCTGAGAATAGTTCATGCCAAGACAATCTTCCGTAACAAACGAGGCTAAAGGGACCAACTTGGCAAATGACTGAAAGACTTGTTGCCGGATCAATTGCCCAAGTCTATCCTAATGACACCATTATTTTGTCTTCTCTGATGGATCAATCCGCCGAGTGTTCCCCGCACGCATAAATGCTACACCGGCTTCTCAAAGAAGCTAATAAGTTTCAAAATTGGCAGCCCATCCCACACGTCACGTTGCCTTTTAAAAGCCACACAACCATATTTGTACAATTTGAGCAACAAAGTCAAAAGAATTTTCCACCGAAAAGAATTGATTTGTAGGCCAAAGAAAATCAAATCATGATATAAGTCAGTGTTCCCAACATTTTCCACTTAAAAATTATATCCTTGTTGCTGAGCTTGGTTGGATTTTACTTTTTGTTGTATTGTTGTGCCTTTTTGTGGTTTCTTAATAAAATTTAGGGTTTGTCCAATATAGGTAAATTTAGGGTTTGTCCAATATAGGTCCCTACAATTTTTATTTCCTAGACATATACCCGTCATTCTACAAATCTATGTGTAAAACCCAGTTTTAAACTTAAATGACCAGTAAGATTGATAGGTATATGTCTAGGAAATAAAAATTGTAGGGACCTATATTGGACAAACCCTATATTTACCTATATTGGACAAACCCTAAATTTCATTAAGAAACCACAAAAAGGCACAACAATACAACATAAAGTAAAATCCAACCAAGCTCAGCAACAAGGATATAATTTTTAAGTGGAAAATGTTGGGAACACTGACTTATATCATGATTTGATTTTTCTTTGGCCTATTAATCAATTCTTTTCTGTGGAAATTTTTTTTGACTTTGTCACTCAAATTGTACAAATATGGTTGTGTGGCTTTTGTAGGGGTCTTTTTGTTCCAGCAACCTGACGAATGGGCTTGGGCTGCCGTAAGAAGAAAACAGACAAAAATTCCCCAAGTGCCTGAGTTCGAGAACCAAGCTCCCAAAAGGATTTTTGAAGAGTTTGATGAAACCTTAGAAAAACTCTTTTAGGTCATCTTCACTAATGGCCAAAAGACACAACAAATCGATGAATGACTTGGCTTGAGGAGCTTGTGGCATGGGAGCTAAGCTTTCACAAGTTTAGCAATTTGAGAGAGAGAGAAAAGCATGAGTTTCTTACAGAGGATAGAAATTTAAACCGGGGCAGAGAAAGATTAGGGAGATTTTTATCTCAGGGAAAGAAGAAAACAATGGAGGAAGGAGATTGGGTGGCTTGAGTGAATTCCAGGTTGCTTGACAGAGCTTGGTCAGGCTCTGGATGGGTTGTTTTTTTGGGTAGCAGAAGCCCTCTTTTATAGGCACAAAGAACCCTAATTTAACCATTTCCTCCATTTTTCGTTGCTTCTTTCCACTTAATCTTCTTTGGTGAAATTCTCCCATCCAAGGCGCATAGGTAAGGATCTCTTTGTGGTTCCAAGGTTTTGGCATAGCTGGTCTTTCTCCATAGGGGTGAAGCACCACTCACTTTCTTCTCGATTTTTCCTATGGGAGCTAACAGAGGAAAAAGGGGAATGGACATACTGTTTACCCAACGAGTAAACCTCTTGCTCGTATGGATTTCCTCTGGGTTTTGTGTTGGCTTCCGTTGACTCCGTTGTATAACTTTGGGCAAAGGCTGAACGTGTTTGCTAGATATTTTATAGAGTGTTGGGCTGGGCTTTTCCCAAGGCTTTGGGTCGGTGATATTCTACTCTACAGTGACTGGTCAGCTTGTTTTCGTCAAGTTGCTAGAAGTAGTTTGCCTGTTGCGTTTTTAACAAAGTATTTGGGCATTCAAATTAACATAGGGTTTCCAAAGCAAACTACTATATTCTTTCTAAGGCATTGGGCTATGTTCTCTCTCCCACGCTAGCCCATGTGTTTGGGTCCAAGAAATGGGCTTGAGTTTTGGTGCTCCCAAGCAGCCCACAAGGATTAAAATATCGACCGTGCAGATAATATCGGGCCTCCAATTTACAGATATTTTGGGGGATATATCGTTATCGTTTTAGGTATCGAGAAAAAATCAACAAAAAAGACAGATATAGGCATTGAAACACATAATTTTGGTGTACAACTTTCATAGATGTTATATACATTATCAATGAATGTATTGAACAAATGAAACTGAAAATTTACTAATAATAAGACATACATTGATGAAATATAAGTGGTATGTAATGCGAATTAATGAAAAGTTTGAAAATAAAATTTTGATTAGAATGAATAAACCATGCATAAATCCATAGTTTGTTTAAACATTAGATTACAATTTAGATAAGTGTCCACCTACATAAATGAAGAGCTCCTATGAGGTTCAAACAATGAGGAACAACCATCCAGATTCATACAATAGTCATACCAAGTCATGTAACCCGAGCAGTTTGTAAGCCATATTAGAACATGGGGCACATAAGTCTCTCTCGAGCTCCCTACTGTCCTCTCATATATGGGATAGTTAGGATTAACCCAACTAGTAGGTCCATAATCTGTTTCATCATCTTGAGCTCCATAACTAGTTCCACTATAATCAGACATGACATAACCATAGCCATCATAAGATTCATTTGAGTTAGTACTAAGTCTAGTTTCTATGCTCATAGATCCAAAACTGTTCCCCATGTTCTCTTCAGATGGATTGAAGTATGTGGCCAGTGGACTGTGCATAAATTCTTCACATTAATAAATTATAGGGTTTTGGGCAAGGATTAGCAATTTTTGGGTTTCAATTTGCTTCAATTGCCTTCAAAACTTCTGAATTTTTTTTGGGTTCTGTTATGGGTATCGGGAAATATCATGGATATCGGCAAAATATCTGAAATATCGCACTTATCGGGGGATATATCGTCGATACAGGAGAAGATATGGCCTTACCCCCAGTATCGGTGTCGATAGTTGAAAATACCATATCGGTGTATCGGCCGATATTTCAATCCTTGGCAGCCCAAAACTTCTATTCCTTAATCCCTCAATGGGCCTTGTGAATGCTTGTATCCATCCATACCACAACCTTCTCAGCAAGCCTTGGGTAATTTTGTGGCTTTGGCTCACTTAAGCTTGTGGCATGGCTTGGTATTAGAATAGTGGTCATTTGCATGAAATTTATTTATCATGCTTGTGCTTGAGTTTTTATTATGTTGTAATAGGCTATAATTGGGACAAGTAACACTGGATAGGTAGATGAGCGTGATTTTGTAAAGTTGGTATTTTCTTGGCCCTTTTTGCATGTGCTTACTTGGCATGACACGTAGCCCGTGGCTTGCATTGGTGTGTCCTACAGATTCTCTTTTGTCCCTGATCGGGTTCCCCTTGTGTTCAATTATCCGTGTTGGGCCGATAATAGATCTGGGCCTAGCCCCTTGGATTTTTGGGCATCAACAGCTTTTAAAAGGCAATGTGAAGTGTGGGATGGGCTGCCAATTTTGAAACTTATTAGTTTCTTTGAGAAGCCGGTGCAGCATTTATTCCTGCGGGGAACACTCAGCGGATTGATCCATCAAAGAAGACAAAATAATGGTGTCATTCGGACAGACTTGGGCAATTGATCCGGCGACAAGTCTTTCAGTCATTTGCCAAGTTGGTCCCTTTAGCCTCGTTTGTTACGGAAGATTGTCTTGGCATGAACTATTCTCATAAATTGTCTTGGCTTGAATTGGCTTAAGTTGAATAACACTTAATCGATGTTTGGTGATGCTTGGATTGGGACTAAATTTAAATTGATTAAAATATCAATAAATAGGATGATATATTTCAACTTCTATTCTTCTGTACAAACGTGGGTTAAAAATATTCCAAAGTTTTATTTAATAAGGTTTATTTTTTAGGTTTATACAGGTTTTAAATTTGAGGGCATTTGTGTCTATTTAAATGAGTTTTTTGTTATATTTGAAATATTTTACAAAAACTGACATTTTTGAAATTAAAAAGATCAAATTTTAGCTATTTTTGATCAATTCTCCACGTGGCTTGGTTGTTGAAAAAGGAGAAAAAAAATAAATAATTAAAATAAAACAAATGAGAGACCCACCGAAAAAAAAATAGGAGTTGAGTGCCGAAAAGTAGTGGAGAGTGAATAAAGAGAGATAGCGTGGGGAGCACATGAGACGGAAGGTAAGGTAAAGACAAAACATGACCATAAAGAAAAAGGAAGAAAGAAAAATTGTGCCTGACAAGAAAGTTGTGTCTGATAAGAAAATTGAAGGAAAACTTTGAAAAGAGTGCTCAAGTGAGCAAAGAGAGAAACAGAAAAGGGTTTTCGTTTCGTGGGGTTCACATGTAGGTTTTCGTGGGTGATGAGCTTGAGAAGGGGACTGAGTTTGAGGAAGAAATGGAGATATTTGAGATGGAGAGAGAGATGGATGTGGAGAGTAAATATAAAAAATGGTGAAAGAGACAAAGTTCCCTCAATTCTATGACAGAGAAGTTCGAGATCACAGAGCGAGTGAGACCAGGGGCGAGGCAATTGGGGACCAGTGCAGTCACTGGCCCCCACTGAAATTTTATTTTTTTTAAAAAAATAGTACTAGTATTAGGAGTCTGAAGCAATATGGATATGGGCCAAAGAGGATTTCAGCCAAAAAGTGGCGTGGTCTATTAGATTTTACTTAAATTACCTGCAGCAGTGGCGTGATCTACTAGATTTCAACGTGGGCCAGCCAAATATTCTAAAATTATACACTATTCATTCTTAAAGGATTAGAATTATTAGTATTATTATATATTGCCTTCTTAAATCAATAAACTTAAGCCTTTTTTTCTTTTCGTGGGTTAGAAACACGACTAGACCAGCCAGTTGCTTGTGAGTTTTTTTTTTTGTCAAATTCTAATTATATTATCAAGTTTTTTATTTTTTATTTTTTTATTTTTTTTTTTTTCTATTGATTTTAATGGGTCTTTCAATTTATGTGTAGATTACCAAAGGGAAAATGCTTTGGAGATATTTGGTAAATCGTTATTCAACTCCAAGTATGTATTTGTTTATCCTTTGTAATTTTTCTTGCGTAGTACGTAATTGTTTATCCTTTTAATGCAATTATGAACTTGTGTAGAGTGAGTATTCTCTGCTATGAATATTGTGAAGAATCGGTTACGCAATCGAATGGGGGATTTGTGGATGAATGATTGCTTGGTTGCATATATTGAAAAAGACATTTTTAATAGTATAGATGACGAGGTTGTTATGCAACGATTTCAAAATATGAAAACTCGTCGAGGACAATTATGATTGTAATGAATAGACAATATAGACAATATGATTTTTGATGTTTTGATGTTTTGTGAGTTCGAAATTTTTATTATTTATATTTTGTGAGAGGCCTCCAGACACATGAAATTCTGGCTTCGCCACTGAGTGAGACTTTGTTCTGATCACAAAGGAAAGGACTAAGGAGGGACAAGAGGACTGAGAGGGCTGTGCTTTGCCAATTTATAGTTCTTCTTTGCACAACACAGTCCCTCTGTTCAGATTAAATTCACCAAATTTTAACAAGAAAGGAAAACAAAACAAAAATATTGCTGAGAATGAATAACAATCTAAGGGCCTGTTTGATAGTTTCAATTTTAGTTTTTAGTTTTCATTTTTTGTGCTATATTATAGAGGAAAATGAGAGTGAGAATGAGAGTGAGGATGAGAGGAAAGGTTGAGAGAGATAAGTAACAAAAGTGAGAACAATTTGAAATAGATTTCAGTTTGTGGTTTTTGTTTTCACTTTTGTTACTCCTTCCTCTCATCTTCTCCTCATCTTCCCTCTCAATCCTATCTCCACTTTCATTTTCACTTTCATTTTCCCTCTTTTTTTATTCTATACTGTAGCACAAAAAATGAAAAACTAAAAACTAAAATTGGAATGGTCTGGAGGCCATAATTTCCCTTACAAGCAATTTGGAAAAACATTAAGAAGATTTAATCCTGCTTGGTTTGATGATTTTTCTACTTGGTTGGAATGTAGTATAGAAACAGATTCTGCTATTTGTCTTACCTTTTTAAACCAAACATTGGAGAACAAGCAGGTAGTGATTATTTTGTGGGTGAAGGTTTTTCTAATTGTAACGTATTTCAAGATTGTAATGTATTTCATGGAAGACATTATGGATTAATATATGAACTTTGTCTTTAAGTATGTTGTTGAAATTTTACTTTGTTGTTTGGAGATGCCCCACATCCACCAATCACTCATCCATGGACTGTCGAATTTTCAGTGGTCTTGGTCTTGGTCTTGGTCTTCAATTTCCTGTAACAGTATTTGGTCCTCCTTTTGCATCCCCTCCCTGTAAACGGATATTGGATTCTTATTTTGACAGAAAACGCAAAAGAAAAAACAAACAAACAAACACACACTTGATTTCAGATTTGCTTTGTATTTACGAAAGGATGGAGCCTCATGGTAGGCTGATTTTGTTTACCTGCCTTCATGGATTCCTTCTTTTATGCATGAACACACCTCTGGAATCTGCAACTCTACCTAGTTGTAATACTTCTGGAAATGAAACTGATCGTCTGGCGCTGCTGGACTTGAAGAAAAGAATCACTCAAGATCCTCTCCATGTCATGAGCTCATGGAATGATTCCCTTCATTTCTGCAATTGGGTTGGCGTTACATGCAACCGTTGCACCAAAAGAGTTGTGATTTTGAAGCTGACTGCTCAAAAATTGGCAGGCTCCTTACCAAAATCTATAGGAAATCTTTCACGCCTTACCGGAATCGACCTGCTGAACAACAGCTTTGCTGGTGAAATTCCTCAAGAAATAGGTCGTCTTCGAAGCCTGCGATCTCTCAACCTGTCTTGGAATTCCTTTGGCGGCAAAATTCCAAGTAATATATCTCACTGTGCACAACTAAGAGTGCTTCGTTTAGGCGCCAATGAGCTTATTGGATCCATTCCGAACCAACTCAGTTCATTGGTGAATTTATATTATGTATCTGCTACTCGTAACAATCTCACTGGAGCAATCCCAAATTGGATAGGAAACTTTTCTTATTTGCATACTCTTTCTCTTCCGAAAAACAATTTTCGAGGAAGCATACCAAATGAGCTCGGGCGTCTGACACGCTTGGCGGAATTTGACATTTCATTGAATAATCTGTTTGGTATTGTCCCTTCTTCAATCTATAATATTTCTTCCATTACAATCTTTCGATGTTACTGGGAACCAGCTGCATGGAGAGCTACCACCAAATGTTGGCATTAGTCTTCCCAATCTCGAATTTTTCATGTGGTATGAACAACTTCACAGGAGCTATTCCTGCGTCGTGGTCAAATTCTTCTAGACTTCAGGAGCTTGATTGTTCTGCAAATGGTTTGACCGGGACACTCCCTGCTGAAAATCTTGGAAGGTTGCGAAGCTTAGTTTGGATAAACTTCAGTCGCAATAGACTGGGAAGTGGGAAAGCTGGTGACTTGAATTTTCTCAGCTTCTTGGCTAATTGTACTGGCCTAGAGGACTTGGGTCTGGACATAACCATTTTGGAGGAGAATTGCCAAGGTCCATAGCCAACCTATCTACCCAACTAAAATATCTTTATTTGGGGGGAAATTTTATACATGGAAGCATCCCTGAAGGCATTGGGAATCTTACAAGCTTGGCCCTTCTTGGAATGGAGACAACTATTTCAGTGGTAGTGTCCCTGATGCCATTGGGAAGCTTCAAAAGTTACAGGAATTGCATATGGATGTTAACAAATTTTCTGGGCCGATACCGTCCTCCCTAGGTAACTTGACTTCATTGATAACGGTATTCATGGACGAGAATAGGTTTGAGGGAAGTATACCTCCAAGTCTTGGGAACTGCCAAAGTCTACTCACACTTGACGTTTCTAATAACCGTCTAACAGGCACCATACCTAGAGAGCTTTTTGCGATTTCATCCCTTTCAGTTTCTTTGAGAATTTCTAACAATTCTTTGACTGGTTCGTTACCATCTGAAGTGGGTGATTGGTGAATCTTGTGGAGCTGGATGTGTCAGGAAATAAGTTATCAGGTGAAATCCCAACAACTCTAGGCGTTGTATTATGTTGGAGCGCCTGTATATGCAAGGTAATGAATTTGAAAGAACAATTCCTGACTCTCTTAAAGGTTTAAGAAGCTTGGAAGTAATGGATATTTCACACAACAACTTATCCGGGGAGATTCCTAAACTTTTAGAAAAGCTCAGGTTTCTTAAGTATCTCAATCTTTCTTATAATGATTTTGAAGGTGAATTGCCTAAAGAAGGGATCTTTTCAAATGCAAGTGGTCTCTCAATTATTGGAAACAATAGGGTCTGTGGTGGTCTCCCAAAATTACTTTTACATGCATGCTCCATCAAAAAGTCCAATTCATCATCTCATCGACTACTTGCCCCAAAGGTAATCATCCTTGTAGCTTGTGCAGTTGCATGCATAATTGCTCTGTCATGCTTCATTGTTGCTCGTTCGAAGGTGAAAAAGTCAAGAGGTGGCCTAGTAACTTCAGATTCTTATAAGGGCTGGAAATCAGTCTCTTACTTGGAACTCGTTGAGTCAACTAACGGCTTCTCTGTGGACAATTTGATTGGTTCCGGAAGTTTTGGTTCTGTTTACAAAGGAGTACTTCCTAGTGATGGGAGGGCAGTTGCTGTTAAGGTATTAAATCTTCAACAACGAGGAGCTTTCAGGAGTTTCATTGACGAATGCAAAGCTTTAAGAAGTATACGGCACCGTAATCTTCTCAAGATCATTACTGCATGCTCGAGCATTGATAATCAGGGGTAATGACTTCAAGAGTCTAGTATTCGAGTTCATGGCAAATGGAAGTCTAGACTCATGGCTGCATCCTAGAGATGATGAGCAACCTCAACAAAGTAAGAGATTGAGCCTTATCCAAAGACTCAATATTGCGACTGACATTGCTTCTGCATTAGATTATCTCCACCACTGTTGTGAAACAACCATTGTTCATTGTGATCTAAAGCCAAGCAATGTTCTTCTTGGTGAAGATATGGTAGCCCATGTTGGTGACTTTGGTTTAGCAAGGTTCCTCTTGGAAGCATCAGATAATTACTCCCAAAGTCAAACCATGTCAGCTGGGCTAAGGGGTTCGATAGGCTACATTCCTCCAGGTATCATTCTCTTTTCTCTCTACCTAATAAGTTTATGACTAAGCCAACTTATTAAGTCTCTTCCAATAAAACAAAAGAAAGATAATCGAAATGAGATGTAACTTGTAAATGATTTGAGTGTGACATCATAATGCATGAATTGAATGACAGAGTACGGCATGGGAGGCCAAGTTTCCATTCTGGGAGATATTTATAGCTTTGGAATACTGTTGCTAGAAATGTTCACTGGAAAAAGACCTACAGATGACATGTTCAAAGATGGTCTAAGCATTCACCAATTCACAGCCATCACAATGCCTGACCATGTCATGGACATAATTGACCCTTCATTGCTCATTGAAAGAAATGATGCACATGGTGATGGAGAAAGATACGAAAGTGAAATACGAACAAGACGAACCACAAGCTATCAGCATGGCAGCCCTATCCAAGCAACAAGATTGGAGGAATGTTTGGTTTCAGTGATGCAGATAGGTTTTTTTTTTTTTTTTTTTTTTTTTTTTTTTTTTTTTTTTTTTTTTTTTTTTTTTTTTTTTTTTTTTTTTTTTTTTTTTTTTTTTTTTTTTTTTTTTTTTTTTTTTTTTTTTTTTTTTTTTTTTTTTTTTTTTTTTTTTTTTTTTTTTTTTTTTTTTTTTTTTTTTTTTTTTTTTTTTTTTTTTTTTTTTTTTTTTTTTTTTTTTTTTTTTTTTTTTTTTTTTTTTTTTTTTTTTTTTTTTTTTTTTTTTTTTTTTTTTTTTTTTTTTTTTTTTTTTTTTTTTTTTTTTTTTTTTTTTTTTTTTTTTTTTTTTTTTTTTTTTTTTTTTTTTTTTTTTTTTTTTTTTTTTTTTTTTTTTTTTTTTTTTTTTTTTTTTTTTTTTTTTTTTGGGGCCTCTGCAAATTGCTGCATGGCTACTTTGGTAAAAATCACCATGGCAAAAAAATGAAGACCTGTTACAAGAAAAAGAATGTGGGCTAATGAGAACTAAAAGCTGAATTGGCCGTTGAGGCTTATAAGCCAACCAACATTACCAAAACTATTTTCCTTCCACTAAGCTTGCAAGAATTCCTAGATGCTCTTAGGCCCCCTAGTTATGTTTTTAGAGAGCATTTCATAGAATGAAAACAAGAAAATAAAAATGCATTTTCAGAGAACAAAAACGGGGCTTGTAGCTTAGTCAAAAATCAATTTCAGGGAACAAAAACAGTGAAAATGTGTCTTTTACTAATATGTGAAACTGACAAAAACAGTGAATATGCATTCAATAGGAGGATTTTAAAACAAAAATTAACTAACATTTGATACATTTATGTATGTAATTAGTCTAACTCATTTTTTATTATGCACACCAAACATGTTTTCCTCAGTTGACTCATTTACTAAAATCAAAGAGCTTGGATTAAATTATATTTTTTATTTATTTAAAAAAAGTGATTTAGCTATGTATTTGGCTAAGTTTAAATTAGTCAATGAAAACATTTATTGGCTTTCATGATATAATTATCCAAGTTAATATCTTAACTAGCTATGACTAAATGTGTTTAGTCACACAGTTTCTAGACCAAATATTACATAAACAAAAAAAAAAAAAAAAAAAAAAAAAAAATTACAAATATTACATAATCAAGAGCCTTGGGTGGAATCATGCCACAAATCTTGTGCAATATTATCTCTAATGTTGGTCATTTGTGCAATATTTCCTGAAGACATCTAAATTTGGTGTAGCCATATCTTCACCCTCAACAATCATGTCTTCTACTTGAAACTCTTCAAACAACCTATCACGACATGCTTCTCTTTGGATAAAATTATGTAACACACAACATGCAATAGGGATGCGCCGTTGCCTACACGGAGGATAATTGGGCATCAATTTCAAAATTGGAAAACCAGCTTTCTACACACTAAAACACCGGTCAATTACATTACTTAATGAAGAATGCCTATAATTGAATAATTTTGTAGGACCTCTTGGTACTCGGTGCGGTCCCCTATAATCACGCAAATGATATCTCTCACCTCGATAAGGTACCAAGATCCCAGGCATATTTGTATATCCAGCATCCACAACATAGTAATATCTTATTAATTCATTCATTATTTTCACGTGATAATAATATTAGTAATAGTTTCAATTTAATTTTCTATATTTATTCATACCTTCCTCTGGAAAAGCAAATTCATTCTATGGCCTCAACACTGCATCTGTAAACACTCTAGAATCATTTGCAGTCCCTTCCCATCCGGTGTAAACAAATGTAAACATCATATTGAAAAAGCATGCGCACATAACATTTTGAGTAATAAGAACCTTTCTACCACGGTATGAGATTTGTTTTTGTGCTGGTGCCCAAGCAGCAACATGTGTCTCATCAATCGCTCCAATACACTTCTACAATATAGTTAAAAGTAACTAAGTTGAATAATAAAAATAACTAAATGGAGGCCTAGCTAAACATCTGTTTCCCATAAGAAATCCAAGCTTTTTCTCTCTATTACTAAACTCATGAAGACTTAGCTCCCATGCCACAAGCCTCTCATGCCAAGCTCTTCCATATTGATTCACTAAAACACACTCTCATGCCAAGCCTGTATAGTCTCTGTACAATATGAACTCTTTCCAGAGGCATCTCACATCATTTATCAGCTGTCGTATGCCAACACCAAATACTTCATCTTCTCCAACACCTATTCCAACACTATTCTCACTTTAAGAGAGCACTTCCAACACAGTAAATCAAGCAAAATCATTCCAATACCTATTATACATCAAAACCTGCAAGGAGCCATTGAAGATGACCAGAATATTCCCTAAGAATCGCATTCTTTCGGGATATTTTGGGGCCTAGTCCTTTAACCCACCCAGGCAAATTGGCAACTTCATTCTCTCTTTACAGCGGCCCAAGTCCACCTAGAGCTGCTGGAACAAAAAGACCTCCACAATGGAAAAAAGAAAAACAATGAAATAAAAAGCTTCGTAAATGTATAAAACTAAGGACCAATTTAGGATTGCTGCCACTTCCGTGTTTGGTAAACAATATTTTTAAAATATTGTTAATATAAAAAGTAGTGTGAAAACCGTTTGGTAAATTTTAATACAAAAATGTTGTAATTTTGGATAATTACTAAAATGGACATGATGTTGGTAATTTTAATATAAAACTATTGTAATTGTTGATAATGACTGAAATGGACATCATGTTGAAAGTGTTATGTGCTAACTAAATGGTGGTAGTGGCGGTGTGGTAGTGGTGGTGGTGGTGGAGGTGGTGGTGGTTAGTGGTGAAGGTGGAGGTGGTGGTGAGTGGTGGAGGTGGAGTAGTAGGCGATGTCATTTTTAAAACTACTGATGATAGTGGGAATTGAAAAAATTCATTAAATGTTATTCTCTGCTTCTTGTGAAAACAACTTTCAAAAGCAACTTAGAGGTTCTTTTCAGGAGGCCATTGCTTTTAAATTAATCAGTGTATTTTATTTTTACCAAAAATCTTAAACTCCTTAACTTTAAAATCAAGCCGATTTTTGACCCCCCAAAAAAAAATTCTCAAACGGGACCTAAGTCCTTCAGACTCATTGGCCTCCTATCAAATGAATGCGCCTAACTTGCTCCCCCAATTATCATGAAAAACTAAGGGAAATGTAGTTGTTATCGGTGCTTCACTGCACTAAGTGCGAATAGTGGTAATGTCTACGCTTAGAGCGGCAATGTATGCTCGTTTTGTGGTAATATTTGTGCTTAGAGTGGAAGCGTACCAAATTAAAATGTTCGTGCTTGGAGTGATAGTGTACTAGTGATAATCTGTGCTTAAGTAGTAGTGTTGTGCTTGGGAGTAGTAATGTATTTTAGTTTTTAAACACAAACTAACACCTCGAGGAATAATGTACTAGATGTGTAGTACTAGTACGTTCCCTCCAAGTGTAGCACTACATTGATGAAAATTCAAAGCAAAAACCCCATCTTAATTTCCAAGATCGGGATTTATTGTGGCAGGTAGAATAAGACCAAGAATGAGGATGTCATGCATGTAACATCACAACTTATATTTGGTAGTCATCCATATTAAAATTCATGATACAAAGCTTATATCTTATTATTGCTATTTTTTTTACTGGCTAGTCATCTAATGAGCCATAAACAATTTGGCACGAGCTGCAGAGAATACATGACACCACATCAACATTCATATTGGCATTTCTGTTCACTCAAATTGGGGGTGGAAGAGATCCCTTTCTTCTTTTCTGGTTCCCTAAATGCAAGCAAGATTCACAGGGGCAAGCAAGATGACACTGTTTTGTAAAGTCTCATCATTTACTGGTATCGTTTTCCCCAAACATTGTCCCAACCACCACTCGGAGCAGGTCTTGGACCCTCGATGTAGTTCTGGGGTCCATGGGGTCCGTGGAGAGGACCCCCGTTGGGACCTTGTGGATGAACTTTATTGGGTTTTGTTTTAACTCCCAGTATCCTTAATACAAATCTAGCCAGCTCTCCATACAATAATCCAGAGCGATCAAAAAGCTGCAGCAAAGTATTGACAACCAGTTAGAAAACGCTTAAATGGGGCTAAGAAGTTGCAAAATAATTCCAAAGCCACGGCCATTCGTTTTCCATTCCACCCCGAAGAAGCGAGGATATGAAAGCTCTATCAAACCAGCACCACATCTTTTAATAAGATATAGGAACTTTCTGTGCTTTCTGCATGAAAGTTACAGCAACTTATACATGGGAATTCCTCCAGTTGCAATTTCAATATCATCTGGTAAAGGAACGTGGCAAGATGTAACCAAAAAGTAAGATGGCCAGATATTCTAAACCACCACATTAAACTTCCGGTTAAAATATGTCAGACTTCAGAATTTCCTACTGCATGCTCCATGTCTGGGATTGAAAATGATGGGCTTCTCTAAGAAATAATTCATTTCACAGGTGTTGAACAAAAGTTGATTCTACACTGACAAATAAAGAGATGCATTGACAGATGATTACCTGAAGAAGTGCTGACATGAACATATGGAATGCCTGCGTGTTCTGGTCTATGAGAATTGCAATTCGACCAAAAAAGTTAACCACACCTTGCGTCTGCCATAGGAGGAAAAATTGAGAATAAGTAATCGTATGAAAGTCATCAAAATTCCAAAATAACTCTAATTAATTTTATTTATTTATTATTATAGGGGTTGTTAAAAAGCACATCCCTTTCTTGTTCTACCAATCCCCATCCAAAAGAAAAGAGTTACAGATGCCCTATAAGCAGGCTCCAGAAGACAAGGTAAACCAGCAAACAATATGATTCATGTTATACTCATTTTGACACATTCATTTACAAAGCTTGATAGTCTTTATACCTTACTGCTTTCATAATACATTTGTTTATTATATTATGCATTTTTCATCCATCGAATATGAAAGTATAAACAAGTAAAAACACAAAATGCTTACCACCCGAAGTACTGAAATCCAAAACCCTGGTGGAGATGGAGGACCACCATATGGATCATTTGGATCTTGACCTCCATAAGGGCCACCCATGCCCATTCCATAACCACCCATCTGGCTTCCAAGACCACTATTGTACATTCCACCTCCATACATCCCAGAAGATCCATACATTCCACCTCCATACCCTCCCCTATACATGCTGTTGTTGCCATACATTCCCCCACCATATAATCCTCCAGTTCCACCATAGGATGAACCATACATTCCAGACATTCCAGACATTCCGGAGATTCCGGAGCCGTAACCTGAGTTATAGTTCACAGTGGAACCATAGCCTAAGGCAAAACAAAAAACAGACGAATAAACACAAATAAATTTTGGAAAGCGACAAATCAGGGGATGGAGAGGTTCATGCTTTCACTAACCTCCGTAGTTGCTGCTGCTCCCATAGTTCTGCTCCCAAGGCCTTGAGGGTACAGGCCTAGCAAGAGCATTTCTATTAACAGTGGCATTTCTATCAGAACTTGAAACTATTTCTCCAGGTTTAGCAGTTCCTGAAGCCTCAACTACATCACTTGTGCTTCCAGCTGATGGGGGTTTAAAAGGTGCAGGACCAGATGAAGAACCTGCTCTCTCCCACGGTTTTGGGGGAGGACCATTAGCTGTGAAAGGCAACAATGTAACTCACTTTCCAAAGCAAAAATACCATAACTACCACACGACCTTAACCACAATCTACCAAGTTAATAAACACTGAGGTTACACAAACAGACTTCCTACAACTCCTACATCTTTTAAACATACCAAAATCCAAAAATGTCATAGCACACTGCCTGCCTGACTAAATCTCTGAATTACAGCAACAGTTTGTGGTCATGAAGCATGTCCTTGCTAGATTTTGAAAGTTTCTTATTGTAAATTTTTTATTTCAAACTTCTATAACTAGTTACTGTCCAAGTGGTACTGTCCATGCCACTTTGGTAGAAGCAAGGGTGGTTCGGGTAATTTTCTTGTGTTTTATTCGGAGGTCATAATTAGTTGATTTGTACTGTCTAGGGTTTTATTGGTAAGCATTTGAATGTCGTCGTTTTTTTCCTCTCGAGTTCCTATTATGCCTTCCTACTTGCCCCCATGCTTCTGATTACCCTGCTATCCAGTTGATTTTCTTATTTCTGATAAATCTGGTTGAACCCATTAAACACCATAGAAAATTCCCAATAGGTTCCAAACAACCCTAAGAACATCAACATAGGAGGACTACGTTAACTCTGACAGACCAGACAAAACTCTTCACAAGAAAGAAAACAAAAATTAAGAGAAACCGTTTTTCCATCAGAATATATTGAGTTTCTCAAACTACCTAAGGGGATTTTGGGTGATAAATGAGTTAAGGGGTTACCACCTAGCATTAAAGATAGTCCACGAGTTCAGCATACTGAGCGAACAAAACTTCATGTAACTTTATCGACAGCTTTAGCTACAAAGGGAGCTATGAGCAAGCAAGCTACCTGTTAATTTTGCTCGAACAAAATCTAGTACTCCATTTTAAAAGATATTCCATTCTGTCAATAATTTCAATGGCTGAACCATCATTCATATCACCCAAATTGCAATAACCCTTAACACTAACCCAAAACTTTGTTGCTTAAAGGGGGCGGCGCGGGGAGTCTTTTTCAGTCAATTGGCTGTGCTAGTTATTCTAGGGTCATAAAAAGATGAACAAGAAATGAATCAAAACTGGAATTCCATCCTTTTTCTCACAAATTTTCTCAGCAAACAAACAAATCCTATCCTCAAAACAATTCGAACATAAAATTCATAATCCCTGTTCAACAATCAAAACCCAAAACTCCAATAACTCTAACAACCCACCAAAACTCCCAAACCATCCACCCCTTAACCAAACTAACAATAACGTCAAAAAGAAAACAAGAAGAAAAAAAAATCGAACTTTTGTCTAACCCAGAAAGAAGAACCGCAAAATTCAACAGAATTAAAGAGAAACGAAATCGAATAGCCAGAAATTCATGAAAATTTTCATGGGAAAATTTACGAACCTGAAGGCTGGGGGTTCGATTCCATCAGAATTTGCAGAGACACGTCATGCGATAGAAGAGCTCGTTCCACTTTTCAAGACAGACGTTTTTTTTCTGTTCTCACTCTTTTTTCATTAATTTTTTTGTTTTATATATTTTATTTTTATTATTTATTTTTAATTTTGGGTAGAACAGTGGACCTGTCGGCCTGTGGATTTCTGTTAGTGCTGAGAAGGGTCCTATCGCTATGTGGACCGTCAATCCTTGTTGGGCCCCACATTTAGTGGCGGCTATGATCCGGTCGTTGCTGGGTGGACATTTAGCAAGGGACCGCGTAAGTTTAACACGTTGGGCGGATTTGTTTTTGTTTTTCTCATTTTGTTTTAGGCTTTGAGAATGAAATGCAGAAAGAACTTTGTTTGATATTTGGCATTTAAAACGTTGAGAGGTAAACATGATAGGTGCCCATTTAACTCATATACTTAAAACTTGAGACTTGATGAAATCCAATTTAGCTCATATACTCAAAACACCGAGCCAATACACACGCAATAAGGTTACATCACCATAATGAAGCTAGCCACAATTAACTAAATATAAAACTCACCACAAATATATATTGTTATCGCCATCTATGTGAGTTGAATCTGAGAGTACTGCCAAATGTATACGAAATTTAAGACAATTACACACTTGAGAGGCTACTTTTTAGAATTTAACAATCGTTTGGCCTTGAACACAGCAAAGACAGACAGCAAACCAAACCATAAACAAGAAGATTACAATACTTTTCCAATTTCGAAAGTATAATTGTCTTCTCAACAGAATTTTCCTTATAATCAAAGTCTACAAGTATAGAACAAACTCCCCCAAAAGAAATCCCTAAAAAGAAATACAATAATTTACGGGAATTGCTCCACTGTTGAAAATGAAAACTACATATAAAATGTTGAAGTGAATACATCAATGAGCTAATACCAAAGTAGGATTATAATACACTCAAATGACAGAAACAATAAAAATGCATCAGTAAGTAGGATGTAGTCCATGAGCAAGCAAACTCATGGAAAATCTTAAAACATGGAATCTGCAAAATTTTACTATCAGTACAAAAAAGAGAGAGAAAAAGAAAAAGAAAAGCCTCTGGCCTTATTAGTCATCGACCTCAGCTTTAATTTCTCTTTGTAGCTCCTCCTTGTACTCCTCAAAAGTCCCTGGAAAAGTCCTCACAGTACCCTCTTCAACAACCCAAATTTCACTCTTCTCTTCATCGTCACACACCCGTGATATCAGCCTAGAATCATGACTCACCAGTACAACTCCACCAGTGAATTCATCAAGTGCATCAGCCAGGGCATCAATACTCTGCATATCTAAATGATTTGTGGGCTCATCCAACAGCAAAATGTGGGGCCTTGACATGGATATTGATGTGAAGACAACTCGTGCTTTCTGCCCTCCGGATAATTTTGCAATAGGAGTAAGATGGTTGTGGCTAGGGAGTCCATATTTCCCAAGCTTTGCCCGGACAGCCTCTTGCTTGCTAAGTCCCTCTTGTTCTGGATGAAGGCGAAGAAGGTACTGAACTGGGGTCTCACCCATTGTCAGGAGATCCACAAAGTGCTGTGAATACCTACCGATCCTCAACTTCTGACTCCTCCGTACTTCACCCTCCGTAGGAACCAAATCACCTGCAAGAAGGTTGAGCAGAGTAGACTTTCCAGCTCCGTTAGGTCCAACAATGGCAACACGAGTCCCCATATCAATACCAACATCAACACCTGACAACTTGAAATCCTCCCGTTTTGGATAACTGAAGCTGACTTCAACAAGTTGCAAGAGTGGAGGAGTAAGCTCGGTAGGTTCAGGAAAGTGGAACTCCACACTGTAATCTCTCCACTTCTTAGGAGCCTCAACTGGTGTGTCATCTTCATCAACCTTGCCCTTGCCCCTGTTCTTTGATGCTTCCTTAACTGCTGCAGACTTTGCTCGATCCTTGACCTTCTCCTGTTGAACCCGATTTCCACTCCTTTTAGCAGCTTTCATCTGCTTGTCATAAATTTCAAACTTTTTGTTCACTTCTTTGCGACGTTGCTCATACCCAGTTTCAAAATCATCAAAATTTCCACGGTAGATGTGGAGTTTCAGATCATGCAGATGAATAATCTCATTGCAAACTGTGTTAAGGAAATCCCGGTCATGTGAGACGACAACCAAAGTTTTTTTCCAGCGGCACAAGTACTCCTCCAACCAGAGAACAGCCCTCAAGTCGAGATGGTTAGTGGGTTCATCGAGCAACAAAAGCGTTGGCTGGACAAAAAGTGCCCTTGCTAATGAAATCCTCATCCTCCAACCACCACTGAAGGACTTAGTTGGACGGCCTTGCATATCCTTTGTGAACCCCAACCCAGCAAGAATCTTTGAAGCCTGAGCTTCAGCCGCATCTGACCCCATTAACTGCAATTTCTCATACAATTCAGTAAGCTTCTCTCCCTCTACATCATCATCATAACTGTCCTTTTCCTCAGCAGAAGCTGAATTCTGCAAATCTGCAACCTCTTTCCGGATTTTGACAAGTTCTTCATTAGCTGAAACAACTGCTTCAAGGGCAGTTCTATCGTCAGCAACTACCTCCTGTTCAACCAAAAGCACATCAATGTTTTTTGGTACTGGAATCTTCCTCCAAGCAAGAAGCTTCAAGAGAGTAGACTTGCCCATTCCATTAGGGCCAACCAAACCATATCTCTTCCCATGTGATATCTTCACTGAGGTGTTCTTTAGAAGTTCCTTTCCCCGAGCCGACACAGAAAAATTTTCTACTGTTATATCCTTGACATTAGCATCGCCATCTTCACCATCAAGTACCGATGCCCGGCTTCCAATAACAACAGTGAAAGCATCATGATCATCTCTAAGGGCCTCCTTCTTAGCCTGCTCAACAGCATGGGCAGCTAGAAGGTCCTTCTGAGCACGCTTCTTTAACTCTTTCTCTGTTATGGATACATCAAGTGGCTTATATTCTGGCCTCTTCTGCTTTTCTTCTTGTTGGCCCTCTTCCAACACATATTCATCTTCTTCATCAGAGGGGGGGAGATCAATATCATCAGTGTAGGATGGACGCTTTGGAGCACCTTTCGCCTTTGTACTTGAGGAAGATCCTTTCTTGGGCTTATCAGGTTTCTGGTCCATGCTGGCCAACATGGCAGAGACTGATACTTTCTCTTTCTTCCCGTCTTTAGACGCATCTTTTCCGGTTGACTTAACCTTCGTGGTTGCACCAGCCTCATCTGTCTTCTTCTTTCCCATTGCAGCAGTTATCTGATATAAAAATTTTATAAAATAAAAAAAAATAAAAATAAAAAAGGAACAAAACTCAACTAACTTCAGCTATAGATGATGTTAAATTACAATCAGATCAGCACAATACAAAGAAGTATAGCATCAAAAGCGGCTATAAGCTGCTGTCCAGTGACCCAAACGGTCCCAAAATACAGAGAACAGAAGGATAAAGCTATAGAATAGAAGTTGGAACGAAGATAATTGAGTTTTCAGGCATAGGGACCCAAAGGAAACTCTATAATCTGTAACTTGTGAATAAAACTGATAAAAGACCCTTATTACATCTCTTGACTAGGCTTAATAGCCATCAAACCCTAGAATAAAAGGGAAACCTAATTGACAAATGAAAGTTAAACCAAAACAGGAAATTAAAACAAATCCTAGTTGGAATAGGAAAACAAATGATAACTTATCAATTTAAAATAACTCAAACTTAGGTTATTGGCTGACGGGTAGATGCTCCTGCATCACCTATATTGTAGGTATTTGTTTCAACGTGACGGTTCTCATGGACAGTTTACACAAAATCCTTTGACAAAGTTTGAGGTGTTCAACTTCAGATTGGAAGCTTGCAAGGATTCCCAAATTCCCCATTCCCCCACCCCCAAATTTTGTTCTCTATATACATAGAGGATTTTTCTTTTTTCATTGGCTAAGAATTTTAAAATACCAATCAATTAAAAGCTCCAAAAACAACTCCCCCTATAATCATCCAGTTCCTAACCCAAAATTTTGGGAAGATATTTATGCAAGTAATCTAAAGATAAATCCATAAGTTTTATCACTCAATTCAATTCAAGAACCTAACACATAAATCAGTCGAAAGAGTAATGAATTTCCATGATTTTGTATGCGATGATTTAACAGACTTGAATCAAGACTTGCAAAATAGGTGAATCTTAATCGAATTAAAAGAAATAAAACTCAACCTGCAAACCTCAGACAAAGAGCTCAAGTATGCGTCGCTGTAGTTTCCAGAAAACACCCAAAGCTGAAAACCCACAGTTACAGATGCAGCCGAACAAAGAAAAAATTAACTAATGATTGGTGAGATTCAAAAGCCCAAATAACAACGGACTTGCTGCTGGGAATAAGAAAGGTTTATTTGGCAACGGGCACTGCAGATGCCGTGAAGGGAAGAGGGAGACCAGCAGGTGTGGGGGACTGGTGTGTCGTGGCGGCGGCCAGATGAAAAGATCCAGAGAAAGGTTATTTTTTTAAAAAAAATAATTTATTTGTCATAAGATAAGACGCAGAGCAAGGTTATATAGGGTATTTACAACAAAACCGACAAAAGACGGTAAAGTAAACAGGATCCAATTCAATCAGCCCAAATAAACCGATTCAGCCCAATTCAATTCAATTCAATTTTAATCAATTTCAACAATTTGGCAAATTAAATTGAATTTCTAATTTCCAAAATCAACATGATTGGATTTGTTCATGAGAATTCAATTCATTCTAGTTAATTTTAAGGTTTTTTTTTCGCTCATGTAGATATTTGTAATTGAGAATGAGAAAGTTATAAATATTTTTAGTCATGGAGTTATGTTTAATATATTATAGAATCAAAGCAATTTTTTCTAGCATTTCATTTATATTTTACATTTACATATATTAAAATGTTTGATTAGATTAAATCTGACTAAAACTATTTCATAATTTATTATTGTCTTAATTCATTATTAAAATCGATCATCTAATTCAATCTGATCTAATTGATGGATTGGATTGAATTTAAACCTTTGATCTGATAGGATTGGATTGGAAAAATCATAATCCAATCCACCACCAGGCTACCACTAACAATCTCACCACAAATATCACAGATGATGGCGTCACCACTACCACAAGATAATAAAAGTTAAAGTTTGTGTTTAAATTCATTAGTCAAACAAAAAATTTACAAACTCAAGAACATTAAGTTCTACCATTTATGAATTCCTTGGTACTTTAGGAAGGGGGAGGGAGTTTTTTTTCAAACACATGCTAAGGTGCCGTGGGGTTCCCAAAAATACAAAAATATACTCATATTTTATGCAAATTAATTAATCACAAATTATACGCGTATTGATGTATTTTTCACAAATAATACACATTTTCCTCAAAATTTGACAACAATACGCATACTATCCGCATATTTTATTTGTATTTTTCATATATTATTGAAAAAAGAACTACAAATAACAGAATTTAATTTTTTTCTTTATAATGGCCGAATTTTTCACCGTACATTTTAAAGAAATTTACCAAATAATACGCGTATGTATTTTATAAGTATTATACCCCTTCTGTATTTTATGGGATTGAAACCCAAGGTAATCACTAGCACATTCTTCACTCCCTGGTCATCAGCACAGAATCACATACCATTTCAATGATCTTATTTCAGTCACAATCCATGGAACTTTAAGATGCACCACTATCTCACTATTCATATGTGCACAAAAGCTCTGACTGAGGAAAGTGAAGATTCCCTACCTGGTCTACAAAGCTATGCCAGTGCCTTAAACCGATCAAGTCAGCAAAACCCATAGGGTGGTTTCAAACCACTTCTGAAGAGTATATATAACTGAACTACTTCAGTCTCAATCCAACTACATAATGATGTCGACCTTATATCAATATACTTCCAGCTCGTTCCTAAATGCTTGGATAGGGAAACAGTAAGTAGTGATGTTCACATACATGGATAATAAGGTCAAGCTCTTACAATCCCAAGACGAATGATTGCTCGTAATCTAAAGATATTACAAAGATCCACACACTATCCACCATGTAAGGTTGAAATGAAAACAACCACATCCTTCTCCTCTAGTGTTGTATCAAGTTGGCCACTCAGCTCCCAATCGCAATCGTTCACAAGGGCGAGAACACCAGGTCTCCTGCAAAACAGAACAAAATTCATGATCTAACAAGAAGATAATGGTCATGTTTCACAGAAGTACTTATATGATTTTGTAGCAAATTTGTTTCATTTGAAAGAGTCCTCTCTCCTTTTCCTGTAGTCTTACTACGTTTTACCTTCAATAAATGTCTTCCATCAAAACCCATTAACCGCATACGTAATATAAAATTATCATTCCATGTCTGAGGCACACATTCACTTCAAAATTAAGACTTGAAGCGGAATTTAGCTTACACAGTATCTCCTTTCATAAACATTTCAGGCCTCTCCTTGATCAAATTGGTACGAATCCAAGACAGCAAATCCTTCATTGTTAACTGACAAGAACCAAATGAAAATGAGTTGACTTATAGAAATAAAAGCACCAAAAAGACAAAATCAGCTGCATATTTCATTATTCTTTTTGGCCTTAACAAAAGCTGGAACTTACCTTTTCTACTCCGTTTTGCAGTTCTACATTGACATTATGAATCTTTACAGAGTTGCAAAGAAGCTCTAATCCTCCGCTACATAAAGAAAATATGATTTCAGGCCAAAAACAAAAAAAGCAAACATTCCAAAACTCAAACTATGACTACCTTATAAAAGCATCAAGAGTACTAAAAAATAATAATAAATGACTCTGAACAAACTTAGGTCTACAGGAACTCATGTAATTTTAACAAGAGTTTGCCCATAGTAAAAAATAGAGAATAAAAAAAGAAACCACATCAACCAAGCATAATACAATGGCAATCTCAGTCAATTTTAAGAATGGCCCATAGAAGAGCCATATCTCTAATGTTGCATTGCATATTGTCATACTGTCCTTTTTTTTTCTTTTTTTCTTTTTGTACTTTGCAAGAACAAAGAACCATTCGAAAATTTTGTGAAATAGTATTAGGAAAAGAAATTAAGTACCCGAATTCGACGGTCAGCTTCATATCGGAAAATCTGCAGAGTTTCGAAACCTAAAGAAGAAAAGAGTGGGAAAGGAATGAGAGCTCAATCAAACGTCAATATCAGTCTCATGTATTTTATTCCAGAAGAGGCACAAAATTACTACATCAACAAATATATGCAAACGCAGCCCATTAAACAGATTACCAAGATTTCTAAGTATTACAATAAACGGAAAGCAATTTTCTTGTTTTCTCATTGTTCTATTATAAATCGTTAGGGTTAAAAATGATTCAAATTGGGAACAGTTCGATATCAAAAAGATAAAAGCCTCATTTGGGTTTCCTTGTTTGATCAATGAGCAAACATGACCTTAATCTTTAAGATCATTTAACAAAATTCACACCAGAAGAAACAGCAGCATGCTGTTTATAGATTGCTGCCAGCACCAGAAGCAAGAGCAGAAAATTTTGAAGGATGCAAATTTTCAGTGAGTTAAGCTAAAGCATTAAAAAATATACATCTAAAACGTTGCTGTTTTTAAGCAGCAGATGCAGTAGATAGAACACAGTGGGTACCTTCTTTCTTCTTCCTCCTTTCTTTTTCCTTCTTTTCTTTCTTCTTCTTTCTTCTTCCTTCTGCTGCCGCTGTTTCTTTTACAGAGGCAAAACCTAACCTCTGGGAGAAAGAAGAGGCTGGGTGTGATTAAATCAACTTTTACAATTTACATTTTGACCCCAAGGTTTCTATATCTTCAACCTTAGATTCTACTTTTTTATATTTTTAATTAAAAAAATTATTTAAGTAAAAGTAATATATTGTATATTAAATTTAAATAAAATGATGATATATTGATTTTTAAACTTATTTTTTCCAAAATTCGATGTTAAATCCAAGGGTGAGTGACAACTATGCGTCCAGAAGAACGAGATTGTGACTTTTTAAAGGGACAATTGTAACTTATATGCTAATGGATGCAATATAATAGTGACTATTGCGCAATATTGTTGTAGTGAAAAGTCCTAAACTAAACTATAGGAAAGTTTTTCTTCTAGGTGGTGGCTATCCAAAGGCTTTTGAATTTTCATATTTTCACAATTCCTAATACAACAACGAGGTGCAGACTTGCCCATAATTGCTGGAGGCTATTCCTTCAAGCTTTCTGAAAGCTTTTTTAGACAAATTCTCATATGACTAGTTTCTTCTTGTTTCGGATGATTCATACTAGTCACACTCTTACATCTTCTATAGGTTCATAATTTCTGCACTAAGGCGTGAAGCAAAAAACAAAATTGAACCATTCAGAGTTCTTAATATCCACATAATAAACAAAAGAATGTATGGTCTTGATCATATCTCTTCCCCCTTCTCCAACAACAATTTGAAACATGGTAATACAAAGATATTGAAGCTTGAGAATTGCATCGCTATGAGCAGTCTTGACATGGAAAAATTCTTGATTTCCCAAATGAACCAAATAGTCTGTCTGAAATTTATAAAATGGCAATGATATACGAGCAATCTCCAAGCCTTGCAGTATAAACAGTTGACTTATGGAATATGCAATACCACCGTTGTAACATTTGTCCATCCTAAAGGAGAATGTTATAAGATCCACGCATAGATAGTTTTGCCTACAACCGAAACCCTCCCTAGGAAATGAGCATAATCAGCAGAAACTTGACTATGGTTTCTACTCTCTGGGAAAGGATCATAATAATGAGAAGTATAAAATTTCACTCGATGCCATTGGTTTCTACTCTCATGAAAGCAACAACATCGACATCACTTCCGTCACGACATAACAACGAAAAAAAATAACCCCATAAGAAATGGCATAATCAGTTATCTCCATAGAGGTGTGATAGTCATTATAAAATGGAAAATAAGACATTTGCTCCCAGATGTTCTCATCAAGATCGCACCTCTCGAAGGAGGGCTCCAAAATTGGTTTGTAGGACCATGGGTAGGACCATGAAATTACAAGACAGTAAAGTTTGCTAGACGCAGACACGAGAGTTAATGTTGGTTTAGAGGCTAGGGTAGGAGGAACAGAGGAAGATCTTGCCCTAGTGTTGGTGTCAATAATATATCCACCATCCCGTTTACGACAGTATAATATAGAGCAGTTGAAAATTCGTGCAGCCTCAAAGCAATAATCCCTACCCTCATAGAACTTGGCAACAAGTTCAACAACTCTTGGCACTTCATGTTTGAATTTCACCTCATAGATTGCATTAGTGTATTCACCCTCATCACCAAACACATATAAATATACGCATCTAGCTTCCTCCTGATTTGCCGCCATTGATGTTGGCTCCCTGTCCATGGTCAATTTTGGGTAAATAATAATGGCCTCATGGTTGGGGCTGTTGTCAAATTCTGTTGTTTTGGGTCAACTACTGCCTAGTAAGCGAAGCTCCTTCACCATTGATTTCGTTAAATCAACCACTTGGGTTTGCTGAGTAGAAATACTTTTACAGATTTCTTCATTTCTGATAGCTCGCCCAGAGATTTCTCCATCTCTGATAACTTGTGCAGGAGTTCATCTTGGGTGAAGCCATCATCATCAAGGTATGGTCTTTATGAACGTCTTGACCTGAGGTGAGCTCAACGACCGTGGTGGCAGAAGGTCGAGATATATTCCAATTCCTCATGATACCGGATGATCCTAAACTTTAGGATTTGATAGGTATGATACGAAAGTTTGGAACTCGTGGGAAATTCTAGAAATATATCAAGATAGAAGAGTGTTGACGTCCAAAATTGGATTCAACTTAGATAGGTGAAGTGCGGAGTCTTCAACAAGGGGTTGGAAGGAGTGAACCTTCAATAAGGGAACCTTCGGCAAGGAGGAGACCTGCATAGGTGGGATAAAATAAACAATCGTCAAGCTTCGGGCATAAGCATAGTGCTAGCTGAAGGCTCTCTGATGATTAAGTTAGCAAGAATAGGGAAATCGGTAATTTTGGCATAATAACAGTAAGGGTGAAAAGTAGTTACCTTTTTACTTGGGTATTATTTCTCTCTTTTATAGAGAAATGAAAGTGGGAGGATGTGAGACTTTGTGCAAATCACTGTGGTGGCGACACATGTCCAAGGCTTAGGTTATGTAGTTGAGAGCTTCGGCAAGCAATTGCCGTATCAGAGGTAGGTATCTCTTCGGCAGGTTGGGATCATGATGGCGTCATCAGTGTTTTGGGGATTGCCCTAAAAGTGTTTTTCCTTCGGCACACAGTAGGTCTATCTATGCTCCAGTCCCCTAGTAATGACTATGTTCGGTTCATTATGGTACAAGCAAAGAGCAGATGCTTGCTCTCATTTATCTGTGAAGTCTGAATTGCAAAGCATGTATTTATATAATGAGCTACTTAATCTTGTTAGAAACAAGAAACCTTATTATTAATTTTTTATATAGGAAGAAACAGGAAACTTATGACGTTACTATTCTTCATACCTGTGAAAAGGTTCTATTTCATAAGTTCATTTGTATAATTAGTCTTACATGTACTTTTTAATATTCTTGTTGCAAAATTTATCAAGTGATCTGCTGAAAAAAATTGATCTTCAAAGAAACTAGGTTCATTTGGGCCCTAACATCAGTATAGTCGTTATAAGACCATCTCCAACCACTGGGATGGAAACCCAAATTTTCAATTTTGAGTCAAAAATTCTTCTCCAACTATGTATTTTGGGGGGTGGAAATTTGAGAAATGTGAAATTTGGGTTTTGCATGGACTGGTATTTTATGTGGAGCCCAAAGCTCTGTTTGGAAGCCCATGTGAAGAGGAAAAGAGTTGGGCCCCATGTGACAGCAAAGCTGTCTGGCTAGCATCTTTTTTGCGCGACAACTGGCAATTTCATTGAAGAGAGTCGTTGGAATCCAACAGCTAAATTTCAAAAGCTGTGTTGTTGTTGTTTTTTTTTTCAAAAATGCAACAGCTATATTATACATCAACGATTACGATTAATTTTAGACAATCTGAATAGTAAAATTTCACATCCAACAAGTAAAATTTAAATCCAATCATTAAAATAATATTTATACTTAATCTAAATTAGATCTAACCCTAAAACTTATTCCAAACTCCATAAATAGCCATTCATTTGGTAAATAATCCACCAAAAATCATTTTTTACCTTTCTCCCTTTGTTATATATTTTTTTATTCTACATTCATTCTTATTGAGAATGGCTCCAAAACCCCAAAGAGGTGTGAATTGGAAACCACAAGAAGATGAGGCATTGTGCAAAGGGTGGGTTTCTATCTCTAAATATCTGGCTATTGGCACCAATCAATCAAACGACTCATTTTGGTTGTGTGTGTACCAAAAAATTTTGGAAAATGATTCGGGCATGAGCGGAGCCGGGTTACCATCACCGTAAGCTATTGCTTCTCCATTCAAGATCATCAACCAACAATGTTCTCTATGGAAGGCATGTATAACAAAGGCCAATGCAAGGCATGTGAGTAGCTCCAATCTTGAAAATGTGGTGAGTACCCATTTTTTGTTTGATATATGCCTAGAAGCCAATCTAAAAAAGGATAATTCTAAGAAAATAATATATAATAATCAAAGGGGCAAGAAGGTTGCTTTAGATACATAACGTACACAAAGTAACAAGTCCATGAATTAAGATATAAATGGAAAGTGGTCTAAAGAAGTTAGGTGCACGAGACCTTTCCATACATATGAATATCGTATCCTAAAATGTTCCTGGTCATAGGATCACAAATTGGACAATGGTGACCCGCAAAGACTGGTACACATTATGTCTGCTCAATTGGGAGGATGACTAGTCTCAAGTCATTCGTGTAGAGACACTGAGATAGATATGTAGGTGCTCTATAGAAGATGGAGTCCACTAAAGCCGATCAGCTCTAGAATTCATGTATGGAAGTCTTATTCACAAGTGTCAAACAAAGAATTCTAAGTTGTGATAATGCAAATTAATCCTTAGACTTGAGACATCTCAATTGTCTTGTGTATATGTTGTTTATTTTCTTTGAGAGCACTATACGGTTGTATCAAAATGATGTAACTTAAAGGTTTTCCTCAGGATTCTCAACATGTATGCAAAGACAAGTGAATGTACAATAAGGAATCTTTGCTCTTAGTAAGAAGAGAGAATATTCTAAAGATATGATTCGTGAATCTTTGGCCAAAGTATTGGATGGAAATTGAAACAAGAACGTTTGCAATTTCATCAAATTGAATCACATAATCTAGAGATGTCATAATAGGAATTTTGACACAAGTTTACCATATTCTGAGAATATGATATAGAGTATTGAATTAGAGAAGGATCGAATTGAAGAAAACAAGCATCTAATGCTTAGGAAATGAACTTTAGCCACAACCTATACAACAAAAACATTCTAAATGGCGGATTCATTTTGATTATACTAATTGAGCTAAACCTCTTTCATTTTAAACCAGGTATCTTAGCCTAGTCTCTTTGAACAAAATAGAAAAAGGAAAAAGGGAATAGATCTCTTCCCTTGATAACCTTTTCTTGATTTCTCAAGAATGAACAACTTTGTTGGAAATGCCTTTTCTTTATCTTGATTTTGACTCCTTCACCTTAAGGCTCCAAGATTGGAGTCCTTTACCTCATCACACCAAATGATCCTAAAGATGAAGAGAAGGCAATCAAGAAGTATGGATGCTAGTCTACTTCTTGATTGGACCAATATTTGGTTTATGGAAGATGAGATACAAAGATGATCACTCATCAACCAAAGTAGGAAAGCAAAAGCCCTAACTAGGTTTTCTCCAAAGTTTAGCTTATATAGGACACACAAAAGGCAAGGGGAGAGCTTCCCCTTAGTTGCCAAGATTTGGATGGGTATTTGGGGCTCCATTTGGTCCATGGGTCATGTCATCTTATGCCACTTATTCCTTAGGCCCAGTAGTTTTTTGGGTTATTTTGTCCATTTCCTTTAAAATCATATTTAAAAGCTCAATCCAATATTTCTATATGTCAATATTAATTCCATAATTAATCTTTTAATTATAATTTAACTATTAAATTATAATTATAGTATTACTTAATTGACCTGGTCGAACTATTTGACTTTGGTCAATTGCTCAGGTCAATTGTTGACTTTTGACCGTTGACTTTGACATTTGATTATCAACCATTGACTTGTGTCTCCTCATTTCATTTCTCCTCATTTGTACCTCTAATAACATTCTTTGGGTGTGTAGATCCGCAGGTTCCCTTTACCAAGGTAGTGGGTTGACTTAACTCCTTAGAGATGATATACGAATTAAATTCCATAATTTAATTTTTCATATTAATAAAGGTTAATTGAAACCTTTTAGGACATTCACAAACCATAGTTGTTGCCTAGTAGCAAGTCACGGTTATCCGAGCTAAATGAGATGTTGTGAAAGAACTTATTCAAATTGGAATGACCATGCAATTGAATCCTTCTCTTATGTCAATACTCCTTATTCACATTATTATATCATGGAATCCGATTGTCAATCCTAATGTGAATAATTCCTTTTATATGATTGTCTCGGTAAGATTTAAAGACTTCTTCTTTCAAGTCTTATCCACTACTCTGCGCAGAGATTTGACCATTCATATCTTGGAGTATTCTCTCTCCTTTACTGAGAGTAGAGATTCCTTGTTGTATATTCATTTGCTTCCATGACTCTATTGAGAATCCTGATGAGCATCTTTAAGCTATGTCTAATTCAGCATGACAGTATAGTGCCCTCAAAGATTAACAACATGGCCACAAAACATATATGATGCCTTAGGTCTAAGGATTAGTTTGCACCATTGCAATTTATGAGTTCCAGCTTGACATGTGAGTAAAGACTTCCATGCTGTAACTCATGTATTGGATTGTGTTCAGTGTACTTGTTCTTCTACAAGCACTTACACACATATCGATGTGTCTCCACACTTAATGACTTGAGACGTTGCCATTCCCTACATATAAAGACGATACTATGTGCACTGGTCTTTGCGGAATATTGACGCCCAATCAATATTCCTATGACTAGGAACATATTCATGATTTAGGGATGATGAGAAGTTTCCATGTATGCAATCTCATTACATAGCTCTCATATCCACTTAATGTATAAAACAACCTTTCTTGCCTATTGATAACATAATATGTCTTTAACTCTAATTATTACATAATTAATTGACTTTAAAGGCATAATTCTAACACGAATTGCATTGTAATCACAAACTGACTAGGTTCTCTAAATGAATTCTTTTTAGCTTGGGTAACCATGACATACTGCTAGGTGTCACTCATGACTTGTGGAAGCCCTGTAAGGACTAATTATAATTAGCCTT